AAAGAAGGTTTCAGACAAAGCTAACATAGCAATGGAAATGTTAGTCATTTTGCTAGAGAAATCTTTGCAACCTGTGAGCTCAGAAGCCGTGTCTTCTCACTTTAGCATTTCATTATGTTTACATCCCCACACTCGACTACACTATGTTTTATGCTAAAGAAATAAGTAAAGGTGTTAGTAGGGTGTAGCCAAACCCATTCCCCTGAAATAAACAGCAAGATTTTTCAATGCTACTTTTAGAAGGGAAGATTAATAATCAAAATAGATAAAATATGAGAACATTTGGGGCCTTAAACATATCCAAACAAACCAAAATTGTTCCACAAAACTCATGTTTTCTCTTAGTCTCTCATACACAAAGACTAAAAATCAAGAATGTCAATTAGTGGTTAAAATAGCTTCTAACTACCTACATACAATACAAAGGGATACCTCAGAGGCTCATAGACGTCAGTCATCCTACCTTAAAAACTAAAGAAAAGAAACTACTCCAGTTACAGAGCATCCTAGGTTGAGTAGTATAGAAAAAACAATGATAGCAGCAAGATAAAGAGAAGATATGGCAAATATGAAAACAAAAATTTCGGCTACTCACTATACTGTCCACTGCTTGTTTGGTAAATTGGAGTTGGCACTGTGACGGTGGTGATGGCAGGTGCTGAAGTTTCCTCTTCAGACTTTTCTTCTTCAATCCTTGGCACTCCTGGTGCATCAGAGGACAAGTCATTCAAAATTTTCCTACGTAAAGAGAGAACTATATTGATTAAAATGTACTGGGTAAATACAAATAATAGGTAAAATCAGATAATTGTTATTATGTAAGTAGAATTTTAAAATGTAATTTACAAGAATAAACTCCAAATGTAAAAATGAAGTACACAAGTACCGGGAAAAAACAGATATGAATTCTTTTTTAATATGAGTGTTGGGGAATTCTGTTAACTATGACTCAAAACCCAGATGCAGTTAAAGAAAAGGTTAATGAAAATAACATTAAAAAATACTATTGCATGGCAAAAAACATCAGAAACAAAGTCAGAAGAAAATCAATAAAACTTGGAGAAATATTCACCTATGTTACAGATAAACAGTCAATATCCTTTATACACATACAGTATATAAAGGACTCTGACTCTTAAAAACTGAATGAGAGAATAAATACTTGACTTTAAAAATGGGCAAAGGACTTGCACAGACAATTTACAAATATACACACACAAAAAAATTGTTCAGACATATGAAAAGATGTTCAGCTTTGGTAATAATAGAAAGAACTAATTAAAATGATAGAAATAGTACTTTCAACTCTCAGACTGGCAAAAAGAAAGTATAACAATATATTCAGTTGGCAAAGCTCTGGGAAAAGAGATACTCCCATACACTCCTGTCAGGAGTGTAATGATATAACCCTTAGGAAAGGAATTTGAAGGCATTTAACAAAATGACAGTTTATTCAACAATCCCTCTTCCAGGAATGTACCCTAAAAATATACTTCCACCCATATAGAAATGCACATGCATAAGTTTATTCATCATAGCACTGTTTATAATTGCAATATATAGGAAACAGCCTATATGCCCACACAAAGGATACTGGCTGAATAAATTGTGGTACATTCACATGCTGGAATCTTATACAGGTATAAACAAATTGTGGAAGATTTCTATGACAGAATGATTTCCAGGATATACTGTTAAGGAAAAAGAGCAAACTGAAGAGGGAATCCACAGTATGGTACCTTTTGTGTAATTAAGAAAGGGAAATTATATACATACATATATATATTTTTTTCTACAAATACATATATTGAACTCCTAGTGTGACACTGTAGGATCAGCACTGGATTGTGAATCACAAGGTCAACAGTTCAAACTCACCAGCTGCTCCTTGGAAATCTATAGAGAGGGTTGCTATGAGTCAATGGCACTTAACAACAACATACATACACATACTCATATGTTTAAGAATAAAATCAGGAAGGTTATCTATACGAGGTTAAGTGTGAAAGAAGTGGATAGAATACAAGAAATGGAGTGGGAGTACATCTGAAAATAGTTTTCTTGTACAGTTCTGACTTTGGAACCATATTAATATTTCATATTCTCAAAAAAGAAAACAGCAGCAGCAGTATGGGCAAAAAACTCTTAAAATATAAACAAAACCAAATAAACGTTGCTATATTTCAAATAAATAAATGCACAGAGGGGGGAGAAACCCCCCAAGTAATTTCTGAAATGTTAAATTTTAAAAAAAACAACACAAACCAAGCTTGAATTAATACCAACTTAATTTCAATAAAAGAGCCTGGTGGAGCAGTTGGTTAAACACTGGGCTTTTTTAACTACAACGTCAGCTGGTCAAACCCACCCATCGCTCTACTGGAGAAAGATGAGGCTGTCTGCTTCCATGAAGGTTTACGGTCTCGGAAACTCTATGGACCAGTTCTAATTCTGTCCGATGTGGTCGTTATGAGTTGGAAGGGAATCTCGTTGATGGCAGTGGGTTTGGTTTTGGTTTTAACTTCAATAGTGGAAAAAAACAAAACTCTGTTCCTATGTAGCTTTACTAACTCACTGCCTTTATGTTACTATCAGAAATAATATAATACAATTTTATCTTTATACACAGTATCCATTAACATAGATTTATGATTATTGTTTTATGCATTTTTCTGTCAAATCATAATGGGGAAAAAAGCTAAATTACAAACAAAAATTACATTAATACTGCCTTTTATATTTACCTATGTCCTGGTATGGCGCTGTAGGATAAGCCTTGGAAACCCTATACAGGGTTGCTATGATTTGGAACCAATTCAACAGACCTTAACTATGTGTCATTACCTTTATTTATTCACATAGCTTTGAGTTATTTTCTAGTGTCCTTTTATTTCACCCTCAAAGACTCCCTACAGCATTTCTGTCTTACAGGGCAAGTCAACTAGCAATAAACAAAGAACATACTGTTTTGGTCCTGATTTTAGAGGAAAACATTTAATCTTTCACCACTGAGTATGAATATAATAAATGTCTTTTATGCCATGTTGAGGGATTTCGTTTGCTGTGTATTTTTAATATGAAAGGGTGTTCGGTTTTGTCAAATGCCTTTTCTGTGAAAACTGAGATGATCATGTATTTTCCCCACTTCTGTTCCAATAATATGGTATATTACATGAACTGACTTCCTTATGTTGAACAATGCTTGAATTCCTGGGAAAAGCTTCACTTGGTCTTAGTGTATAATCCTTTTAATATGCTGTTGGGGTTGATAGTGATTTTTTCAATCTCTCCCTTGTTATATATAGGTCTGTTGTGATTGTCTATATATTTTTGAGTCAATTTAGGTATTTGGTATATTTCTAAGAGCTTATCCATTTCACTTAGTTTTCCAGTGTGTTGGTATACAATCTGCCATATTGCTCACTTACAATTCTTTTAATTTCTGTAAGGTTGGTAAGAATGTTGCCATATTAATTTCTGATTTACTCATCACTAGCATCTTTTCTCTACTTGATCAATCTAATTAGAGTTATGTCAAATTTGTGTTTTTTCAAGGAACTTTTGGGTTTTTCTTTCTTTATTATTCTTCTATTCTCTATTTCATTTATCTCAGCTTTAATTCTCTCCTTTATTCTAAAGATTAAGTGTTTACCAATGTATCTTTATATATAGGAGTTCTGGTAGCGTAGTGGTTACGAATCGGGCTGCGAACCTTAAGGTCAGCGGTTCGAAACTACCAGCCGCTCCACGGGAGAAAGATGAGGGTTTCTACTCCCATAAGGATTTACACCCTCGGAAACCCTGTACAGGGTCACTATGGGTCGGAACCGACTCGACGGCACTTAACAACAACAACAACAACAACAACAACAATGTATCTTTATACTCATTGGCTTTTTTGGTTGTAACACCACCACTGATAATTAAATAATCTTACTACCTATTTCAAATGAATTCTATTTTTGAATAACTGATCTCATTTTAAAACCAAATGCAGAAAGCTTACAAAAATTATCCTCAACACATCTTCCAATTTTTCCAATCTATTTATCCCTTGGCTGCTATGAATTTTCAAAGTACTTATTCTTTCTTTCATCAGTGAATTTATTCCTAAAGGTTGTCATTTGCAAATCTGGTAAGCATGGCTTCTGTTTCCAAGCTAAAGTGCTGGTTAAAATTCCAAGCCAGACGAGACACAGTAGATAGCACTTTGGGACTTCATCTGGACAGAAACTAATCATCAAAAGCTGGTTGTTCCCATAAAAATCCATTTTGTAATCCCCATTTCAAAAGCCTCACAAATATATCATATGAACTTTTGCTAAATACCATGCCATGAGCAAGATACAGAGGTTTGGTTTCAGAAATTCATAAATTTAAAAGAATGGCATGTTACTAAGTTTTCACATAAGCAGAGATATCATTACTTTCATGAAAGGAAACTTTTCTGTATGTATCTGTGTTCTTATAGAACCCTGCAATTAATTATTGATTAACGTTTAGTATCTTAATAACATTTCACTAGAATTTAGAGTATAAACCAAGTAAGGCAAATAAAAGAGGAATTTTCTTAAACATCAAGTTGATTTTATGAGCTCTAAAGCTACGATTTACCTAGAAATTGGAATTTCTATATTTAAATATACAAAGAAAAACCATGTGGCTTGCTTCTTAGTACCTAGTTGGATCTACTTCAGAATCAAAGGTGGTATATACTAATGTGAGATATACTTCAAAGTAAAAAATCTAACACTGAGTTATATTTAAAACCAAAGGAATGATGAATATAAATGTATACAGCACAAACCCAGGTACACAAACTATTCTAAGACCTCAAAATCAATTTATTGATATTCATTTAGATTATTTAATGGTGAGCATGGAGAAAAGGACCAGAAATTAGTAACCAACTTATTGTTATTAAGTGCCATTGAATCAGTTCCGACACATACCTACCCTATAAGGGTTTTTAAGAAACGGATAGTGGGTTTGAACCACCAACCTTGAGGTTAGCAGTCCAGTGCTTATCCTATAGCACCATACTAGGGCTCCAAGCAGGGGAGGAAGTGACAAACTCAATCACTCCTTTGTAAAAAGAGAAATAATTTAGGCTAATAACAAGGAAGAATATTAAAAGTCTGAAGTATACTAAACTCTGAAATACATTTAAAAGGAAAATTAATGGAATTACTTTTCCTGGAGACATTTAATATAGAACTAATTTCTACTTACAAAAAAATGGTTTGGGTCCAGGTTATAGGGTAGGTTAACTTCTGCGTGGAACACAAAAACTACAGTGAGGTGATGGGGTGTGTCAGCAAAACATCACCCTGAGAAAACTTCTTAGTTACAAAGTTATCTACTAGGTAACATACAACATGGTCTCTAAGTAGACATATAAGGAAAAACTGCTGCAACTTTTAACAAATGTACCTCAAACTTTTTAAAAGAATAGTCTTTAACAGTACAGTCTGCAAAGAGAAAAGGAAGAAAAGTGAGTGTTCATTCAAGATTGCTAGAGGAAGAAGTGCTCCTATTCCACACAACAAGCTTCAATTTGAGATGAAAAGTAACCTATAAGATTCTGACTTGAGTTGTCTTCTAACATCTCTTTATCTGCAATTAATTACCAAGGGCCACTGCATATCTCTGATTCTAAGGAGCTCTGCTAGCAAAGTGGGTTACACGTTGGGCTGTTAAGCACAAGGCCAACAGTTTGAATCCACCGGTCAATCCTCCAGAGAAAGATGATGCTTTTTGCTTCTGTAAAGAGTTGCTGTTCTTGTTGTTAAGTGCTGTTGAGTTGGATCCGAGTCATAGCGGCCCTGTAAAGGGTTTCTGAGGAACGGCTGGTGTGTTTGAACCACTAACCTTATGGTTTACACCGACCTTGAAGTCTAGTGTTTACCCTAGAGTGCCTTGGAAATCCGATAGAGGGTCACTATGAGTTGTAATCAACTCGACGGCACACAACCACTACCACCAAGTTGCTTTTTGTTTTTCAAGTAGAAGGTATGCTTTAGTTGACTACAAGTTTTATGTGAATCATAGCGCCCAATAAACAATATTCACTCAGAACACAGCACGATCCAAAACATAGCAAATACCCTGAGCCCAGTATTTGGTATAATCTTGGATTAAGTAAAGAAGCCCTGGTGGCTCTGTAGGATAAGCACTAGACTGCTAACTTTCCATGGCAGATGATCAATTTTGCACTTAACCAATCATATTTTGCTTCATTTCAATAATTACAATAACTGCCATGTACCATGGGTTAACAGAATTTTCTTCTATGCACTTTTTTTTTTTAAATTTTGATGTACACAGAACACATAGAAAAAATATATATTTATTTAAACAACCAAAGGGTACATTTTGCAAGCCAGTCTCCAGAAAGGCACACAGCCTTTCTCATTCCATGAGAAAGAGTCCTCAACAGCTCTCTATGCCATCACCTCTGCTTCCATCTCTGGTGTTGATTCTCTGGTAAGAATCCTACGCTCTGCTCATGCTCTTCCTTCTTGATGGTCCTAGGATCCTGTTCCTAGAATGAAAGATTAACTACTCCCTCCTTTTTGTTTCACATCTTTTACCTTTATAGTCCACCACTCGTCTGCCAGTTTGTCGTACTGAGGTGGCTTGTGAGTTTCTGTGATTCTAGAAGCTATTTTAAATACCAGCACGGTCACCCATGTTAAACAGGTTTCAGATGAGCTTCCAGACAAAGACAGACTAGGAAGAAGGAGTGAGGAACTACTTCCGGATATTTAGTCACTGAAAACCTTATGAATAGCAGAGAAACACTGTCAGATATAATGCTGGAAAATGAGCCCCTCAAGTTGGAAAGCACTCAAAATGCGACTGGGGAAGAGCTGCCTCCTGAAAGTAGAGTTGACTGTGATGACTCAAATGGAGTAAAGCCCATGGGAGAAAAGTCCGCAAAAAAGACCTTCATTTGCTGATGGGGCAAAATTCAAAATGAAGAGAAACAGCTGTAAACATCCATTAATAATAGGAATGTATGAAGTATGAATCTAGGAGAAAATTAGAAATTATCAAAAATGAAATGGAATGCATAAACATCGATATCTTAGGCATTAGTGAGCTGAAAGGGACTGGTATTGGCCATTTTGAATCTAACAACCACATGGTTTACTATGCCAGGAATGACAAATTGAAGAGGAATGGTGTTGCATTCATTGTCAAAAAGAACAGATCCAGATCAGTCATGAGATACAGCGCTGTCTGTGATAGGATAATATCCATGCACCTACAGGAAAGACCATTAAATACCACTATTATTCAAATTTACACACCATCCACTAAAGCCAGTGGGGGTGAAATAGAATAATCCAATTCTAATGCAAAGGTTGGGAGCAAATAGGAAGGATCAGTAGTTGGAAAATATGGCCTTGGTGATAGAAATGATGTTGGAGATCACATGATAGAATTCTGCAAAATCAATGATTTGTTCATTTCAAATACCTTCTTTAGACAGAATAAGAGACTACTATACACACAGACCTCACCAGATGGAATACACAGAAATCAAATTGACTACATCTAAGGAAAGAGAAGATGGAAAAGCTTCATATCATCAGTCAAAATAAGGCCAGGGCAGATTGTGGAACAGACCATCAATTACTCATATGCAAATTCATACTAAAGCTGAAGAAAATAAAAACAAGTCCATGAGAGCCAAAATATGACCTTGAATATATCCCACCTGAATTTAGAGATCATCTGAAGAACAGATTTGATACATTAAACACTAAAGACAGAAGACCAGAAGAGGTGGGTGATGCCATGAAGAACATCATACATGAAGAAAGCAAAAAGTCATTATGAAGACAAGAAAGAAGGAAAAGATCAAAGTGGATGTCAAAAAGAGACACTGAAACTTGCTCTCTAGTGTAGAGATACTAAAGAAAATGGAAGAAATGAGGAAGTACAAGAGCTGAACAGAAAATGTTAAAGATCAGTTCAAGAAGATAAAGCCAAATATTACAGCAAAATGTCCAAAGATCTGGAGTCAGGAAACGAAAAAGGAAGAACATGATCAGCATTTCTCAAGCTGGGGGAACTGAAGAATAAATTCAAACCTCAATTTTTATTATTGAAAGATTCTCTGGGCAAATTATTGAATGATACAGAAAGCATCAAAAGAAGATGGAAGGAATAAAGAGTCCCTGTACCAGAAGGAAATGGTTGATGTTCAACCGTTTCCAGAGGTAGCATATGATTAAGAGCCAATGATACTGAAGGAGGAAGTCCAAGGTGCACTGAAGGAATTGGCAAAGAACACGGCACCAGGTTGATGGAAAAAAACTGAAATCTTTCAAGAAAGTGAGGTGGCACAGGAGGCACTCATTCATCTCTGCAAAGAAATTTGGAAGACAGATATCTGGCCGACTGATTGGAAGAGATCTGTATTTGATATCACCAAAGAGATCACCAAAGAGAGGTGACCCAATGGAAAGCGGAAATCATTGCACAATCTCTTTGCTATCCCATGCGAGTAAAGTTTTACTAAAGGTACTACAGAAACAGCTGCAAGCACACATTGACAGAGAACTTCCAGAGGTTCAAGTCAGATTCAGAAGAGGCTGTGAAATGAGGGATATCACTGCTGATGTCCGAGGGATCGTGGCTGAAAGCAGAGAATATCAGAAAAACGTTTACCTGTGCTTTACTGACTACAGAAAGGCTTTCGATTGTGTGGAACATGACAAGCTATGAACAACATTGCGAAGTATGAGTATTCCGGAACACTTAAATGTGCTCATGAGGAATCTGTACATGGACCAAGAGGCAGTTGTTCAAGCAGAACATGGGAACACTGAATGGTTTAAAATTAAGAAAGGTGTGCGACAAAGTTGTATTCTTTCACCATACTTATTCAACCTATATGCTGAGCAAATAATCCAAGAAGCTGGGTTATATGAAGAAAAACGTAGCATCAGGATTGGAGGAAGACTCATTTATTAACAACCTGAGATATGCAGATGATACAACGTTGCTTACTGAAGGTGAAGACTTTCTTTTTGGATCAACTATCAACACTCATGGAAGTAGCAGTCAAGAAATCAAATGATGTATTGTGTTAGGCAAATCTGTTGCACAAGACCTTTTTAATGTGTTGAAGAGCAAAGATGTCAGCTTGATGACTAAGGTGTGTCTGACCCAAGCCATGGTATTTTCAATAACCTCACATGCATACAAAAGCTGGACAGTGAATAAGGAAGACCATAGAAGAATTGATGATTTTGAGTTACGGTGCTGGAGAATATTGAAAGTACCATGGGCTGCCAAAAGAACCAACACATCTTTGTTGGAAGAAGTGCAGCCAGTGTTCCTTGGAGGCCAGGATGGCCAAAATTTGTCTCTCATATTTTGGACATATTGTCAGGAGGGACCAGTCGTTGGAAAAGGATATCATGTTTGGTAAGGTGGAGGGTCAGATAAAAAGAGGAAGACCCCCAAATGAGATGGATTGGCAAAGTAGCAGCATCAATGGGCTCAACCATGGCAACAATAGTGAGGTTGGCCCAGGATTGGACAGTGTTTCATTCTGCTGTGCATAATGTTGCTATGAGTTGGTAACTGACTCGATGGCATCTAGCAACAACAACCTTGCTTATCAAATTGCAGGAATTTAAAACTTGTTTTCTTTATGAAACTTCATCTTCCTCTAGTTGAGTTCTGATGAGTAAGTCATCCAAGTTAGGTCAAATGGGTACTGTCTGAAAATCTGTGTTCTTGTACACCACCCCTACTTTACTTTAGATCAGCTGGCTGCTTCATTCTCAGTTCTAGCCCCCAGTGGCTGGGTCAATATCCATGGGCTGAGGCGTTTCCAAGTCTCCCTAAATTTCAGACCAACCAGCCCTTGCTCTTCTCTCTCTCATCTCAAGGATAACGGATGTCTATGGAACACGGTGGAACTCACCAAGTTCTTTTAGCTATTAACTTCCATACCTGTAAGAAGGCCTCCTTGACAGAATCTCTCTTCGTTTTTGGGAATCAGTAACACTATCCACTGACTCTTGTGAATCTTCACTTTCTGCAATAGTAGAAATCTGAAAATAAAGAAGAACTTTATCTTGATAATCAAATTTAGTTCACATAAAATTTGTATGAAGTTTAAGGAAAAGTAACATAAAGACATATTTAAACTAAATACATGTGTCAGAAAAAGAAAAATGTAAGTTTTTAATGGGAGATTAACAGCATCAATTGCAGTCTTGGTGTGGTGCTGTAGGATAATCACTGTACTGTAAATCGCAAGGTTGGCAGTTCAAAACCACGAGCTGCTTCCTTGGAAACCCCGTACAGGGTTTCTATGAGTAGTAACCAACTCGACAGCACTTAACAACAACTGCAACGATACTCACTCATCCTTTCCTTTTACTTTATATATTGTAAAAGATGAAGTCAAACAACTGAATTTTTAAGGGGGCGGTCAATAACAAGTTTTTTATGATATCCACATTCAAATAAGTATCATTTAGGACTCCACATAGTGAATTTTGACTGCATCAGTGCTACCTGTCAGCTATTTCAGTTAGAACAAAACTACCAACTAAAGTAAGACTTCTGGCATAAGCATGAGGGAAAGAGTGAATGACAAAATACAGTCATAAGTCTATATAACGAGTAAGCCCACTATCAGTAAGTCAATTCCAACTCACAGTTACCCTGTATAGGGTTTCTGAGACTGAAAATCTTTATAAGAGCAGATAGCCTCATCTTTTTCCCTCAGAGTGGCTGGTGGATTGCCAACTTTCAGGTCAGCAGTCCAGTCCTTAACCTACAGCACTACCAGGGCTCCTTATATAATGACTGTACAATTATTTTTCTTTATCTTCTGTGTAAACACTTGTAAATATAGTTACAATTGTACAGGTAAGATCAATGATCTACCCACAATGTTCAAGACTGCTGTTTTCAGCAAAATAAAAAAGTCCCTCTGGTTACATACATTTCAAAGTTGGTATTCTACAATTTTTATTAAGCAGAAACTCATGGCAAAGAACTGTGCATTTCTAGAAAGTATCTCTGATCTGGAAAGAAACACATGGATAAAGTTTTTGCATCGTTTTGTTGTTGTTGTTAGGTGTTGAGTCTAGTACTGACTCATGGCAACCCTATGCACATCAGACTCTCCAATTTATCAATTAAGATATCCTTCTCCAGGGACAGGCATCCGGGCTTCCAAGGAGCATTCTGGATGTACTTCCTACAACATTAGATTGAGTTTATTTGTTTGGTAGTCCACGGTACTTTTAAACTCCTCAAACACCATAACTCAAATGCATCAATTCTTCTATGGTCTTCTTTATTCACTGTCTACAGTCACATGCATATGAAGTTATTGAAAATACCGTGGCTTGGGTCCAGAGCACCTTAGTCCTCATACTGACATCTTTGTTCTTCAACACTTTAAAGAGGTCTTGTACAGCAGATTTGTCTAATGCAACACATCGTTTTGATTTCTTGACTGCTGCTTCCATGAGTGTTGATGGTTGATCAGAGCAAAACGAAGTCTCTTGACAGCTTCAATTCTTCTCCATTTATATGGATGCTATTTATTGGTCCAGTGGTAAAGATTTCTATTTTCTTGACACTGAGATGCAAGCCATGCCAAAGGCTGTAATCTTTGATCTTTATCAGTTAAGTATTTTAAGTCCTCTCTGCTTTCAGCAAGCAAGGTTGTATCATCTGCAAATTGCAGGTTCTTAACGAGTCCTCCCTCCAATCCTGATGCCAGATTTTTCTTCATACAATCCAGCTTTTTGGGTTATTTGTTCAACACAGTAAGATTGAATAAGTATGTTGAAAGAATACAATTTTTCTTAATTTTAAACCATTCGGTGTTCATTTGTTCTGTTCAAACAACTGCCTGTTGGACTATGAACAGGTTCCTCATGAGCACAATTAAGTGTTCTGAATTACTCATTCTCCACAATGTAGCCCATAGCCTGTCGTAATCCATGGTTCTTTGTATAGTCAATAAAGGACAGGTAAACCTCTTTCTGGTGTTCTCTGCTTTCAGCCAAGATCCATCTGATGTCAGCAATGATATTGCATATTTCATGTCCTCTTCTGAATCTGGCTTGAACCTCTGGAAATCCTATCAATGTATGACTGTAGCTGTTTTTGTATTATCCTTAGCAAAAATTTACTTCCATGTAATATTAATGATACTGTCCAATGATTTCTGCATTCTGCAGGGTAAACTCTCTTTGGAATGGTCACAAATATGACTCTCTTCCAGTCAGTTGGCTTCAAAATTTGACAAAGATGAGTGAATGCCTCCAGTGCTGCATCAGTTTGTTGAAAGATTTCAATTTGTATTTCATCAATTCCAGGTGCCTTGTTCTTTGTTAATTCCTTCAATGCATATTAGACTTCTTCTTCCTTTAATATCATTGGCTCTTGATCATATCTACTTCTTGAAATGACTGAACATTGATCATTTCTTTTTGGTACAGTGAACTGTGTATTCCTTCCATCTTCTTTTGATGCTTTCTGCATCATTCAATATTTCACCTAGAGAATCCTTCAATATTTTAAGACTTGATTTTTTTTCTTCACGTCCCTCAGCTTGAGAGATGCTGAGAGTGTTCATCTCTTTTGACTTTCTAACTCCAGATTTTGCACATTTGTGATAATATTTGATTGTGTCTTCTTGAGCTGACCTTCGAAATTTTCTATTTAGCTCTTTTACCTCCTCATTTTTTCCATTTTCTTTAGCATCTCTACTCTGGAGAGCAAGTTTCAGAGTTTCTTCTGACATCCATTTTGGTCTTTTCTTTCTTGTCTTTTAACGAATTTTTGCTTTCCTTCTATATGGTGTTCTTGATGTCATCCCATAACTCTTCTTGTCTTCAGACTTCAGTGTCTAATGCATCAAATCTGTTCTTCAGATGCTCTCTAAATTCAGGTGGGGTATGTATGTTCCAGGTTATGTTCTGGCTCTTGTGGACTTGTTTTAATTTTCTTCAGCTTCATCCTGAACTTGCATATGAAAAATTGATAGTCTGTTCCACAGTCTGTCCCTGGCTTTGTTTTGGCTGATGATATGGAGCTTTTCCACCTTGTCTTTGCATTGTTGTTGCTGTTAAGTGCCGTTGAGTCGATTCTGACCCATAACAGTCCCATATAGAGTTTCCAAGGAGCTGCTGGTGAGCTTCACTTTGCAGTTCAAATGACTTTGCAGTTTGATGCATTAGCCCACAGTGCCACACCAGTACTCCTGTCTTTCCACAGATGTAGTTAATTTGATTTCTATGTATTCCATCTGGTGAGTTTCATGTATACTGTCATCTTTTTTGTTATTTATATTCGTGTATTTACAATGAATAAGTCCTTTGTCTTGCAAAATTCTATCATGTGTAAAGGAAACGAATGTAAATTGTGACAATTTGAAGAACTTGACCTATACTTTTGGATGTAGTAGCTCAAAATACCAACTGAGAGGGAAAGAATCTTCACATCAAGGATCAATCCTATCCCCTCTGTATATAGGGTTTATAGGGATGGACAACTTAGACATTGGCTACCTAAAATGAAGGCGTCATAAAGGCACGAAGTGACTGGCTTACAAGTTTTCAGGAGAGTGTAGTTTAACAGTGTGCAGTGGAAGATAAAGCCCTACTGAATGGTTTCCATCTTGTCTAGACAGGTCTGGTGAAAGGAGATGGGGATACCATTCTTATGATTCAATAGTGATTAAATGTTATCATGACTAAATGTGATAACTGTAAATATAGAAGTTCTGTAACAAAAATGGGGGAGTAGTTAATTTTACAGTCCAGAAACAAGAGGATCCTAGGACCATCCAGGGAGAAGAGCACAAACAAAATGCAGGACCCTATCCAGAGAAGCAGTGACACCAGAGATGGAGGCAGAGATGAGGACACAGAGAGAGAGTCAGCAGCTGAAGACTCAGACTCATGGAAAGAGAGAGACTCAGTGCGGACAGCCAGAAGACAGATTTGCAAAATGTACCCTTTGGTTGTTTAAATTATTATATATGTCTGAGTGTTTTTGTGTACATCCCCCTCCCCCCCCCACGTACACATACCCCTGCCCCCAAAAAAAACAAAAAACAGAGGGAATGGAAGCAAATGCTGTTGAATGATGAGGCACAGAGGAGACTGTAATCATTGAAATGAAACAATGGTGTAAAGCCAATGTTCTCCCATCTAAACTATCACTCAGTTCATAATTTAAAAAACAAAAAATTCTATCATGAGATCTCCAGCATAGTTTCTATCACCAAGGCCATTATTTTCCAACTAACAATTCTTCCTCTTTGTTTTCAACCTTTGCATTACAATCGCCAAAAAATTTAAATACATCTTGATTGTATGCTGGATCAATTTCAGGCTGAAGTTGATAGAATTCTTCAATTTCCTCATCACTGACTTTAGCGGTTGATGAGTAGGTTGGAATAATTAGTGCTATTAACTGGTCTTCCTTGTAGGCTTATAGATATTATCCTGTCACAGATAGCATTGTACTTCAAGACAGATCTTGATCATGTTCCTTTTTGACGATGAATGCAATGCCATTGTTCTTCAATTTGTTATATCCATCAGTAAATCATGTTATTGTCAGATCCAAAATGGCCAGGAACATTCCATTTCAGCTCACTAATGCCTATGATATCAATGCTTATTTGCTCCATTTCATTTCTGAGAATTTCCAATTTTCCTAGATTCATACTTCATACATTGATGTTTCAATTATTAATGGATGTTTACAGCTATTTCTCTTTATTTTGAGTTGTGTCCCATCAGCAAATGAAGGCCCTGAAGGCTTTACTCCTATCACACCATCACGGTCAACTCTACTTTGAGAAAACAGTTCTTCCCCAGTTAAATTTTGACTGCCTTCCAACCTGAGGGTTGCATCTCCTGTCACTATCTGACAATATTCTGGTGTTCTTCCATCATATTTCAGTATTCAATATTCTGGTGCTGACAGTGTCCCACTGCTATTCATAAGGTCTTCAATGAGTAAATATTAGGAAGTTGTCTGTCTCTCCTTCTTCCTTGTCTGCCTATGTCTG